AGGAGCACTGGAGATCAGTTTCAGAAGATGCTAATAAAACAAAGTCGTCTGCAAACAGCAACCTTCTCGATTTCACAGCTCCTACAGCCCGATACCCTCATCACCTTGGCAGCTCCTGACTATTCGATCCGTGTACAACACAAACAAGATAGGGGACAAGACGCAGCCTTGGCGGAGACCAGTGCGAACATTAAATGGTTTAGACTTAAACCTGCCATTAACTCTGAAGCAGCACCTGCAATCAGAATACAGTAAATGGATGGCCCTTAGCAGCTTGCCATCTATTCCGTATGCTCGAAGGCATGACCAGAGACAGTTGCGTGGAATCCAGTCATAGGCATTTTCTAGGTCAACAAAACACATGCACACCTGACAGGCATACTGTCTGATTTCTCGACAATCTGGCACAGGGCAAATATATGGTCAGAGGTGCTTCGACCGAGCCGAAAGCCACACTGCTGTTCTTGTATCTTGAAGTCAGTTATTTCGTGGCACCTTCTTCCTAACTCCTTTGCATAGTGTTTACCTGGGAGGCTGAATAAAGTAATGCCCATATAATTGGAGCATTCCTTGTGGTCTCCCTTCTTGAATACGGGTACAGTAACTCCCGTTCTCCAGTTCGCTGGTGTCTTTCCCGCAATCATCGCAATATGACAGACACGTGTTAGCCAGCACATGCCTTGTACGCCTAATGTCTTGAGCGTCTCAGGGCGGATTTCATGAATTCCAGCAGCTTTCCATTTTTCAGGTTTTTCACAGCTTGTGCAATTTAATCTACAGAGAGAGTAATATCCGTACCCTTCTGCTCTACAGTCGAGACTTCCTGCTAATGCGCGGGGTTAAGGAGTTCCTCGAAGTACTCCATCCATTGTCGAAGAGTGCCATCATCCTTGGTAAGAGGGTGTCCAGATCTGTCCCTCAAGAATCTTAGGCTGCCCTTTTTTTTGCCTCGGAGTCTGCGGATGGTCTGCCAGAATATTTTGTTTGCCGTGTGGAAATTCGACTCCAACACCTCACTGGACTTCTCTCAGAAATCAGTGTTGGCTTTCGCCACTGCTTTCGCTGCCGCCTTGCGTACCTAGACGTATCGCACGCGAGTAGAAGGCTCTTTGTTTCCAAGTTATTTCTTGAACGCTGCCTTCTGGTTAAGTGACAGTGCCAATTCAACTTATCTTTTGGTATGCCAATTTAAGACATGCGGTAAATATGAGATGATAGTGTTCTTGAGCACACGGATAAAATTCGACTTTCATCGAATCTTGAAACACTCGAGTCATTTTGCTGCAAGGTGGGTCAGTTCCTTTAAAAGCTGAAGATACTCTTCTTGAATTTCTATTTCTTCAACACCTTACAATCTGCATCACGTTCAAATACTCGGTTTGTTAAATCGTAGTTCAAGCTCAGCTGCAGTAACAATCCTAACGAATGGACTACGTTTTTACTACGTCAACAATGCCTTCTGTTACTAAGGTCGCCAGGGTAAAAACATATAAAAACAGACGAGACTGCAAAGATTTCTACTTCAGATAGCACCCCTATTTGAATAAGACAGGTACACCATACGTTTGACTCTGCTTGTCAGTTGTCATTTGCAAACAACTTTGCCTTCTGCCTTCGTTATCACTTAACACTGGGAAAAAGTTACTGATTAAATTCCAGGCTTGACTTATGTTAATCAATGTGGAATTCGTAGCACATCTGTTCTTTGTATTCAAGAATACGCAACGACGTTTTAACTAATAAGCGCAATGTCACTGTCTCCATCATTCCTGAAACACGCAACGTTAAACGAGTGTCATTCACAAATTAGATGCTGTACGATGCCACAGTACTTAATGCCTGTGCCCTATTTCGGTATGCGAAAGTCCATCATGGTCAATCAAACCGAATGCCTTTTCACAGTTTCCTAAACCATTAGACAGGTAATCTGTACCTATAAATTGATTGAATACTTTAAATACTTTACTTTATTTCTTTTTAATCAATTGATTCAATACTT